GTCAACCAAGACACCAGCTGCATGTACTTCTGGCAGAAAATGGCCACATTTATAGATTTCAAATAGCACCAAAACCTAGTGAGTAGCTATTGTTTAGTGTAGGAGATAAGCAGGTATATACCTACTTGCTAAATCCCCTCGTGTATGTGGCATAGATGTTATTTTTTCTAGACCTGCAGAGAGACGTAGGACTTAGTTAGCAAGTGTTTCGATGAGTGGATGGAGTAAGGAATAAGCAATTGCATCATTAGGTAGCTGTCTGGACTGCCTGCGGACCAGTATTGATTGCGAAATCTGCACATTTTCTGTAGCTAATGGTGATTTTATAATGATCCTTACTCTCTGAGGTCAAACAGCGGAAGTTAGGGGACAATGTGCAAACACCACTGGCCCATTGTTGGGTAAACTGAATATGCAGAAGTAGTCTTACATGACATTACAGACTTAGTTACAGCTGCTGCAACCTCAGTATAAAGAGAAGAGTTGTGAGTTTTTGCACAGATATTCAGCAACAACCACTTTATCTCAATCCACTATCTGGTTGTGGGTTGTGAGAACCTACAACAAAGTGGATATTTAAATGAATACAAAATTGCATAAAACACAACTGTCCAGTCTTGCCTTCATTTGATCTTACCTTTATCATGTAGTACTCTTTAGCCACTGTTGATGCTCTTTTACTTTACTTACACAGGTGTTAAAATTAACTAACATTTTTCATTCATTCTGGGACTTTCACTGAGGAGTGACGCTCTCTTTTTTAGTAAACAACCTGATCACATTCTCACCAGTAAGCTGCCCAGTACACCCATAGTCTGATCCAGATTGATCCTGCTGGTCCAGGGGGTAGAACTGACAAGCTTCCAGTCACAAGCTTGCTTCTCTAACCTTAAGGCTGCCACTGTCTCCCCCTGACCACCGTAATCAATCTTTAGCTTTTCTACTGTCAAAAAATCAATAAGTGAGGGCTGCATGTGTGAAGCGCATCAGATCTGCAGCAGGGTTAATGTGAAGTGATGCACCCTTGTTCTGTGTCCTGAGTCATTTAGGACAGACCCAGTACTGACTCAACTGTTAAATACCAAGGTGACACATGTTTGTTTGCACCACGCTCATGAATATCTGAGCACCAGGAGTGTATTTCTGCCACCAATCATCCACAGCGGCGTGACTTAACCACCATATGTATGTAACAGGCCTCATTGAAGACCTGATGAAGAGGACTGCTTTACCTACTCACTGTAAATCAACATGCATCTCACCAGGGTGGCTACATATTTTCCTGTCACTCACCCCCACAAATATATCCTGTGCCAGTATGACGGACATGTTGTCTCATTATAATTCATGCTGCGTTTCATGAATTTGGTGATTTGCGGGTCAAAAGCAGTCTCTATTTAGTTTGTTTATTTTAGATGTCTGAGTTACACATAACAGCTATTTCAACAGCATTTTAATTTTATTGTGTAGGTGGTAATATCCAAATAAAGATAGACAGATTCTTTATTGTCCTTATTGTTGCCACAGTCTGTACATAAACATATACGTATATACACAACATTACCAAAGGATAGACATTTAAACACAACACAGGTTGGCTACCGGGGAGTTTTGTTGAGTAATGCTATGGCAGAAGGGATGAAACCTCTAGGGATGTGTGTTTACATGTACATACTTCTTTACTGCTCGTACACAACATTATACATTTCTCTATGGCCAGCAAGGAGGATATAGATATTTCTTGACAAGAAAAAGGTGTATCGCTCCCTGTCGACCTACAAAAATCATGAACCAAACCCTTATTTACTCTGTCTTTTGATTATGTTTGTTAATTGAATAAAATAAATACATAATCAAAAGAAAAATGAGCTGTACTGTACTAGAAATCAGTGCTGCAGCTGTGTTTTATAAGTTTTTATGGACCATGTTGTGAGCCACAAGTGACTGAAGGACAAGTCTATCCCAAAGACACAAAACACTTTAACAAAGACATTGTGTTGTGGTTTTAAATTACACTTGTTGTGACTGTATGCAAAAGGTCACATGTATTCGTGTCTTTCTGTATTGGTGGTAAACATCAGGGTATATTAAGAGTCCCAAGAGGCCTGACCGCATAGACATAGATAAATCAATATGAGCATTGATTGAGGAGGAATTCTGTTAATTGAGTGTGTTTTCTCTTCTTTTCACTAAATGATTTCTCCTGACGCTGCCTTTTTAACCCCTTTAAACCTCACCCGAACTTTATTTTAAATTCCTAGATGACATCCCAAAGTTTCCAAAGTATAGCTACTGGGCAAAACTCAAGACTTGAGTTTGAATATGTTAAAAAATATAAAAAATATATACATATATATGTATTTGTTAGATGTTAAGAAGTATATGAATATGGAGAAGGTTGTGGCAAGTGAATCCATTTAAAACCAATTAAATCATCATCAAATGGCTTCATTGATGAGCTGGAACAAGTTGATAAATAACATGTGAGATTGTCTTATATTCTACAGTTAAGTGAATTACGTACAGTTATTAAATGACCGAACTTTACTTACCCAAATGTTTGATGTTATTAGAGAAAGGCAGACTACAGAAACCACGTCCTTCAGGTCCCTTATAGTTCTACGTTATGTATTTTGTGGGCGTTGCCCTGGAGGCGAGCACCCAATAGGCTGCGAGTATACGCTCTAAGACCCGCCTTTTTGCGGTTGCTATGCCTACTACGCGTCTCTCGCTCGATTGACGGACGGAGTAGCCAATGAGCGTCGAGCTGGGCGGGAGTTTGCGCGCACACTGAAAAGTGTCTGGTGAATTTCTACTACTATGATCAGACCGCTCAGGGTGCACACAAGTGTCGGACCGTGGCTGCCGAAAGACCCGGGGGGATGGAAAATGTATAATAAACCTTGTTGGAAAAGTCTATACAGGTAACAAATGATTAATTCTCCCCTTTACCGCCTTCTGTAACATAAATATAATGTATAAATTGTGTCGTAAACCTGAGCTAACGCTAGGCTTTTACAAATATCGAGTTGGTCCTGCATGGCTGTGTTGAATTTGAAACTGGCAGCATTTAGTAAGACACGTTTGTTTGACATATGAACGGAGGGTGAACCTAGCCAGCAATTGAAGGAGAAACTTACGGGGACACAAGTTAATGTGTGAGGTTAAAATCTAATGCAAAATCCACGGTTTAAACTTTAATAGGTAATGCTCACTCTTAACAATAACCAAAATATGTTTCCATGGAGGGATTCAGAGTTAGCATCATCTGCCAAGGTGGGGCAGGGTTTTATTGGACTGCAGTTTGGATATTAGTCCTACTGATATCGATTCATTTGGCTCCAACTCAGTGGATATTTCTGTCATCTGATGCTGACTTAGAGTATTTTTTGTGAGTTGAAATATATACAAATGTCACTAGTATCCTAAGACTGAGCTTTTTTGTTGTTTGGATTATTACTAAAGTAGTTTTTCATTGCAGGATGTTTGAGGCTGATATTGATAGTAATATTAGAGTATTAAATCAAATCTCCTATGATACATTGGCCATCAGAACCTAAACATTTAAAATGAGTTTAAAGCTATGTGCTGGACATTTTAAAGCTGACAAAAACATACATGTATGCAGTTACAAATATATCCATATAATCAATATCTAAGCCCAAACTGACTGATGATATCAGACGTGCAGATGTAACAGTCAGGTTTACTTCTGACACTAGCTCTGCTTTGATTGACTATTCGGCAACCCAGAACCAGTTCTGGGTTTTCTGCCCACAGTTCAGAGACCCATTATGGGATTTCTAGGTGAGATGGAGACGAGAGATGGCCGTGCCAGCAAATATGAACTGGTCTGTCCTAGATATGTGCACTCTTAGAGGTAGAGGAAGTATTTGTCTGCCTCCGTTGGAGAATGGTACCCGACTTGGAGACACTCATGACGCAGCTCTTGTAAACAAACGTCACACCCAGGAAGGATCAGATTAAACTGAGCTTTTAAACTGAAAGTTCTGTAATATTTATAATTCAATTCGATACTGTCTTGATTTGAAATGTAGTGTCTGTGTACTGGAGTGTTTCGGATTGACAACACCCCAAAGGTGCGTTAATGTCATGCCTTATTATGGAGAGGATCAGTCTGTAATCCAACAGGGCAACTCGTAAAGGTCAAATACAGGAGTGGAGCAACTTCAGTTTTCAGATATCAGTAATGCTTGTTAATATCACAACTTGTCTGGTGTGCAGATTGTCTATCATGTGTCAGCCAGTTGTATATAATTCCACTTTGTTTGATTCTACCAACATTTCATTGGTTAAGATATCTTCAAAAGCGAAAGTAGAAACGGTTATTTTGGTGAGTTCAGGGCTTTCGGGTTGGCACTTTGCCTCATTGCATTACTTTTTAAGAGGTGAGAGTCACTGTCGCGTTGCACCAAAGCAACCACGCTGGAATTCCCCTCAGAATGACTGTTTTAATTTCTAAACAGCTATAGCATAAGCCACAGTGTTTGCATCTCCACACTGCAGCACAGCTGTCTACATCTGCCGGCATTGTTTTTCTCTGCCTCTGAAAGCAAATGGCAGGAGTTGAGAGCTAAGTGCTGCCAGGTCTTTTGATATCAAAGAAGTAAACAACACTCTCCCTGGTGCCTTGGCTTCAACAGGAGATGGACCTTTTTCCCTCCTGAATGCTCAGAAAGTGAGTCAGGGTGAGTGGGATGGAGGGAAAGGACACAGAGTGAAGGGAGGCTGTTTCACTTTCATTAAATAAAAAGTGCAACAGTGTTGGGAGGAACAGTCTTTTCTCCTTTCCTCAGTTGAAGAGGCACAATTTGGGCAAGTCATGTTTGGTGCTGGGTAGTTCTTGACGATCAGGGTTCAAAGGTTGTTTTCGAGTGCCTGTTTGTTACCTATCAAGGTTTGATTATGCTTAGAGCACAAGTTAGAGCTCGACCTAGAAGGGGCACGTTTATTGGCCTAAATAAAGAACCTTGTTTTAATGATAATGTCTTTAGCCGACCACTTTGGTCCAGATGGAAATATCTCAACAACTATTGAAATTTTATACACACATTCATGGTATCGAGAGGTTGAAGCTTAATGATTTTGGTGATCACCTGATCTTTTCTTTAGCAGCATCATGAGGTTGACATTTGGGATTCAGAGTGAAAACTATTGGACGGACCAGTGGTTTTCAAACTGGGGTCCTTCAGTGGTTTGCAGGGGGTCCCTCAGCAAAAAGTACAATCAAATATTCTAACTTTTATCATCTTTACAATAAGGAAAGCAATAAGGTTGGACATTTGTATTGATTTTAATTTATAGTGATCGCAGTTTGATCATCGATTCACTATTAAGACTTTACATCCTCTCAAACTGGGGGTCCGTTGTCTCATGTGCATCTATTGTGGGGGGTCCTTGACATGAAAAAGTATGGGAACCCCTGAGATAGCTGACAATAAAATTTGGTGTAGACATTTGTAGTCTATTTATGATCCCCTGACTTGTCATCTGTCTAAATATTGATTTATGAGCCTCACAAAGACCGGCTAGCACGGCTATGAGACTTCTAGTCTAAATATTAAAAAACTATCCATCATGCAAAGCTGCTTTGTGATGCTGCTGAATAATGAAATTGTAGCTTTGTAAGAAACGTCCTTACAAGGCTCACCGAAAAACCTAAACATCACAGAATATTAAATGTAAAAGTAATTTAACAATTAATTATCTTGGAGGTGGACAGTTTGGAGGAGAGAAAACCCTGCCATCATGGTCCGCTGGAGTGGAGTGGAGTGAGTGAAAAAGTTGATGTGAAGTGAGGTGAGTGAGTAGAGTAGTTTATGAGGTGTGAGTGAGTGAGCGAGTGAGTGAGCGAGTGAGTGAGTGATTCAGATAAATATTGCATGGTAACATATTGCGTAGTTCTACTAATATCTCAACAGTGACCCAGTACTGTGTGCCATGTTTACTGGGTTCACAGTAGTGCCAAGGCTTTAGTGATAACATGTAGAGTTTTTATTTTGGATGAACAAAGTCCAGGTCATTTTGACTTTAAACCCAGAATCCTGTTAGGACCCATTTTAGGATCAGTGACAGCAGGTGTTACAGTTTCAGACTGGCTGTTTATTTAGATTCATATTATGATTCACTGGTGTTTTTTTGTTCTTAGTCAAATGTTGTTGTTTTTTTTTTTGTATTCTGCAAGATATTGAGGCTATCACAGTAACAGAAATGCTGCCTGAAATCATAAGAAGGGACACTTGGGATTCACTCCACTTGAGATATTTAGTTACAGGTTGTCATTTAGGTGGTCAGAGAAAGTGAGGACGCCTGCCAAATAATGAGTGACACCCTCAAACTTTTGTTGACTGGCTGCCTCCTCACAGCCGTGCGGCACATAACCAATTACTAAACCACAAACTCTTCAAGGTTTCACCTCTCCTCACATCAGCATTGGAGGTTGACAGAAAGACCGAGGGAAGGTGAGGAGAACAGAAAGAAGCAGTTGAAGAAGAACAGCTCCCTGTTTTGCATTTATATTTGAATGAACTTCAGCTGTCTGTGCAGAGCCGACGTTTTATCTGACGACAACCTGCTGAGCGGTCATTTTGCTTCAATATTCAAACATGGAAGAGCAACTCATGTGCACATGCTTGCAGCCATGTATAGTTAATCAGCCGGACTGTTCAACTCCCCTGATGACTCCTCTTTCTTTCTATTTGACCCATAAGGATCTCCTTACTATTACTTATTGTGATCGTGCCTCCCTCCTTCTCTATTGGCTGTCCTACAACACATTATATGGTGCCAATGACAGATATTAATAATACATGTGTAGCCTCTCGTATGTAGGCTAGAGTGCTGCGAGGCCTCCCCTCGTCTTTGCCAAGCGGGGCAGGACCCAGAGGCAGGAAATATGAGGCAGGAAACAGTAAAGCTAACCTGTTACGTAATGAAAACACAAACAAAACTCTTTGTACTTTCAATTCAGAGCTCTTGGTTTACACAGCAACATTCTGTCATCATAAATGCCACGTGCAGTTATGCCTAAAAGTCCAGGTGACAACAGGTGACGTCTTGCTGTTGAATCAGGTACAAGCCCCCCCCTCCCATGTAAAACCATGACCTGTGCCTGAGGTTGTGAATGAGCCCAGCCAGGGGCTCCTCATGGCAGATGGGAGGGTCCTGGGGCAGGATGGAGGAGCACGCCATCCCCCCACTGGCTCTGGTCCTGGATCTATTTCTGGGTTACTGGTTCATTTTATGCTGTGCTGTGCTCAATAGGCAAGAGGGATAAAGGGAGGTGAATGCTAAAGAACATTATTTTGTTGATTTGCTTAACAGCAGCATGGAGGGTGATTTCAATTTGAGATTATTTTAATTAACTCAGAGTTAAAAAGGAATCAACCACGGCCCACGAGGCGGGAAACCTCAAATGTGTTCACAGGCTTAAACTGTATTTACAGTTGGAATACAAAATGATGTTAATAATCTCTTGTTTTAATATGCTGCCTTATCTTGTTCCTATTCATAGGAACGGATATCAGATAACTAAAGGTGAAAACATTTCTCATTGAATCAATCTGCAGCAATTTTAATAATAGTTAAATTTATTTGTGAAGCAAAGGTGTCAAAACACTGGCTGGTTGCAGCTTCTCAAATGTGACGATTTGGTGTTTTTCTTTGATTTGAGAACATTTTGATGTGTATTTTTCACTATTTTTGGATATACATATATATTTATATAAAACAACTATTAATTCATGCCTTCTTTTGTTGGTGTATTTAAAATGCTGTCTGATCCTGATTATTCATATAACCGATATCAGATAAGTAGATTATTTTAATAATCAGTTAATCATTTAGGTCATTTATCAAGTTAAAATGCCAAACATTTGCCTGTTGTACCTTCTCAAATGTGAGG